CATGTCCTCCCTCCGCCTTCATTCGAGATCATTTATCCTGTCGAACGAAGGTTTTTCTCCGGGATTTTCACATAGCTTATACAAAATGGGGGACCCGCTGGGTTGAAAATGAAGAGAATTTATATTTACCCCTCTTCTAAGATAGGGAATATTACTTCACATAACGCATAGACCAAAGAAGGATTGTCCCAAAGGTTTCTATAAGAAGTTATGTTATTAATATATGATCAATCACGAAATCGCACTCATTTCTTAACGGATTCATTCAAATTTATGAATGAACTTGGCAATGCAGATAGTCTAACTAAGGATATGGGATATTTTGACTTGTAATTAATGGATTATATGTCAAGCTAGATCAGCAGTTGATCTCACCGTCACAGAGTTCTCACAGTTTAATTTTTTTTAATCCGAAGCAGGTTTAAAGGATCGTACTGTCAACTTATCAAACATGTATGACATGGAACAACATAACATGAGATGAGAAGTATATCCAGCTGCTGATATACGCCATCTATCATGAAGTGTATGGTACTTTTAACTCTGATCATTCAACTTTTTCCCCTGGTTATGGTGAGGTAAATCTGCTGTCGGGGCCATCACTGACATCCAAGAGCTGTTACAGAATGCAGTCCCTTAGGGTCGTATCGTCAGGCGTTCCTACAATTGTAAGATGCCTTTATGACCTCCCTTGATTGTCAGTATTTTCTCTCCTTCAGAAAGGCTGGGGTATTTCTAGGATTTCACCCGATCGGTGTCAGCGTTAGCTCTCTCCTATTGTGAAATGATGCTTTCTTTTTGAATTGTAGGTCAGCCTGATAAAACAGAAACACAAGCATGAACAATTTGATGCAAATAGATATTTGTGACATCACCTCTAAATGGAGCGCTAACACAGAGCAGTAGAAAACTACGAAAATCAAGCAGGCCATAAAGGCGTCCTACAATAATTGTAAGAACGACTGACGATATGACAGTAAAAGCTTTCACACACGTTTATATTTCAGGAGTTCAATTCCTGAAACAAGGTAGCAGAATAACTGAGAGAAAATGAGCGTGGTTCTCTTACCTTTCGGAGAACTGTATTCCTAAACAATGATAGAAGTGCTACTCCCTGAATTATTCTCAGGAGAAAAAATGCCGAAGTATTTCCGTCGTTTATCGGTCCCATCTCTAAAGACACGCTCAATATTAGGTCTATTGAATAAGAAAAAGTATTTGTTTATACTTCCTGTTATTTGAGTATTGATAAGCGTTGAATAAAAAGTCAGTAACTACTTCATAAAGAAGCGTCTACTCATAGTATTAAGTAAACTCATTCAGTTTCAAGTAATTACTTGAAGCATGAGACTTTACTTACGTTTTCCCAGTACTTCCTTCTTTTTAGTTGAATAAAAAGAAGAATTCCCTAAGATCAGAAAGAATTAACTTAACTGTTAAGGTATCTTCAACATACTTTTATCAGAGAACCATAATTTTAACAGTGGCAAACCTAATAAATGTTCGTTAATTTTTGCCTTCTCGCAGATAATGGGTAATATGGAATTGCTCCATGGTTATTGTATCAATTTAAAAACCCTCAAAACAGAACTATTCAATATTCCCCATTCCAAAGAAAGAGTCACAATTGAAAGAGAATTTGGATCCTGAAACCGAGATTTTCCATTTTAAATCATAAAGTGGAAGTATCGATTTTTCCCGTTTTTTTTTTATTTCCAAAAATTTCGAGAGGTATTACGAAAAATCGCCACCGCGCCGCGTTGTATGTTATTATGTATTACGTTATACTACTGTTAGCATAAATACGACTTTGTGAATCGACAATGCACAGTGAATATATTTGCAATATGTGGCAGTATGTAAGTATAAAATATAAGATTTTTCTTAAAATAATGGATAATGAATTAATTGGATTGCATTGTAAATATATGTGTTCTGAAATAGAGATGTTCTGTCGCTTGGGAATTGCTCCATGGTTATTGTATCAATTTAAAAACCCTCAAAACAGAACTATTCAATATTCCCCATTCCAAAGAAAGAGTCACAATTGAAAGAGAATTTGGATCCTGAAACCGAGATTTTCCATTTTAAATCATAAAGTGGAAGTATCTTTGGCAAAAGTTCCAAAAATTATTGTTTGCTGCGCTGTTCTACATAACATTCTTTGCAAATATCTATGGGATGACGTTACGAAAATGAAATAAATCGCCCCGAGGACTAACATGACGTGTCCTATGATGCGAACACTGGATCTTTTTCGTAATCCATACTTAAAAGAAATCATTTTGACACTCACATAGTTTAATTTTTTTGTTATAAGTTGTATTTTTATCAGTTTTCTTTTTTACACAAATTCGTCTTTGATATTCGCCCATGCTTTTTCTTTAGCTTGAACAATCCAGGAAATCATTGATTTATTCAAAAGAACTTATGGTTTTTTAATAACCTGGCAAATATAAGTCTCTGAACCTGCTCTTTTTATTTGCTTGTTTAATATTTTCGGTCTCAAGATGTGGGGAGAAGGGTTGTCAATTTTGGATTTAGCAAATGGGACGTGAATATCTAGTCGCTAGCGAGTTACGATATCGTGTACGTCCCTATTCAAGTTATAATTTGTTTTATTGACATATGCCGAGATAGCCATTTCATAAATAAATAGGGCATGCATTGGCAAGATCCTTATTTTCTTGAACAGCTGCGCGTGCTGTTTACGTCCACCATACACCGAACAACACTTTTTTGCTCAAAAAGACTTTTTGAGCATTTACAGATAAGCCCCAGAAAGATAACGCATACGGGCTTCAATCTGGGAGTGGTGCAACATCAATAACTGGCTTCCGGTAAATACCGATTTCATATTTTTAATCATATAAGACTGTGAATTTATTTTATTGGATATATAATCACAGTGCTGTTTGCAACTAACACATTCATCTAGATACAACTCTAAGAATGTTGTCTCCTGATCAAATTGTAACGTTAAGTTATTTAGTGTAAAATTTAGTGGCGCAATTGATCTTTGGGTATTATGAAATCGTGTCACAGTTGAAATGGAGCTGATTATCCTCAAGCCAGTTACTGATGCTGTTTAGTAGGCAGGTGCCAATGTCCGGTAAGTTTGTATCATTTTTATCTGATACAATGATTGGAGCATCGTCTGCCTACAACTTAAAATGGCTTGCGGGGAACGAGTGCTCAAGATTGTTGATGTATAGTGAGAAGAGCTCTGGTCCCAGTACAGAACCTATATCAATATTAGTTTTATCTGATGTTACATGTCTCACTTCAGTATTACTGGTGCAGGCAATAGAAATGTATTGCGATCTATTTTGTGAATAAGTATTTATCCAAAGATACGCCGTTCCACGAATTCGAGATTTGGCTAATACTTATAATCATGATAAGGAATAAGAAAAGACTTATAAGGAAAAATCTAAATGAAGGAGATTTTTCCAGTATTAACTTTTAAGAATAAACTTATTTTTATTTAAATGAAAATGAGAAATACCTTGTGCTTATAAGTATCAGCTTATCCTTATAAGATTTTACTTCCAAGTCAATTCTTTTTTTTATTCAATAGGCCCGTGTCGGAACTTTTAATAATATGAAAAACCCCGAAATATGTTATTCTTCATTCATCGACAGCAGAAGACGCAGGTCTTAGGTGATGGTGGTATCGCTGATTACTTATTCCTTATTTAGAGCCAATAAGATTAATCGGCCTCCTAGACTTTGAAAGCAAATCTGTTTCAGCCACATATCATGATTCACTCAGGTACAATATCGATACACATCTGCAACTCCCTGAGGCTACCTAATAATCGACAAGTAATTGGAAGAGCTTTTTTAATTGAAATATTAGCTACCTATCTTATATCCGTATCCCTTTAAATATATCACGAATACACACATCTAATATATTCTCCAATTACACCTCATTAGTTCGAAGGTTCGGACACTATTATCCAATTACACAGTTATCTAAATCCCGGGTCAAAAGCTTTTACCATATGGTACCATATGGCACGAGCCAAAGGACGATAGCAGCTAGTAAAATTAATTAGGGCAGTAAATTTTGATCTAGTGACACGGGTAAATTTATTAGGAGCGGGTACTTTTTTATGGCCATGACCAAATGTGTTTTGAATTGAGTTATAGAAAGGTGTTGGTTTGATACAAATTTGCGTTGAGCACAAGTAAATATGTAAATAAAGACACCGGTATTTCTTGGCTACAAAAGATGACTTGATGGGAATATACCCGAATCATATTCAATTTTCTATTCAAGCTGAATCATCTTATTATTAAGGCCCCAGTTAATCCTGCTTCTCACTGATTTTCCAGAGGTGTCAGAACTACGGTATCGTCAACAAATCTCATCTCACTACTAGAGTACAGAAGTGCTATAATATATGAATTTTATCAAGAAAACTTTTTCTTGGTAGATCAATTCTCATACTAATACCCTAAGAATCAAGAAGTCGGCATATCAGCTAGCTCTTAGAATGGGAAACACTACCCTAACAGTTTACTTAGTAGAGGAAACGAACCAAATTTGAGAAAAGCGCCTGATTTGAGCCAGTGGTGTGACTTTGTAGCTTTGTAGCACCATCTTCTAGTAACACCAAAAAGTTCTGAACTAAGACGCAGTACATGTGCTTACAGTTTAGTTTTGCACATGGTTTGCTGTAACATCACAACTTGTTACTTCTTGAGAGTTAAAAATATTCTTAATAGTGCGAGAAAATTGATTACTAAAATTAAGGTAAGTTATTTAGAATAGTTGTCTGATATAAATTTAGTAGTTTACAAATACCTTATTTATTTTCTTTTACAATATTGTGATTTTATTAGATATATAACCTAAATGTGCTTGTGTAAACTTTTTAACGGAAAATTCCTAATTTCAGATACCCAGGTTTTCCTAATTTGAGACTATCTCAAATTAGGGCCCTGTATCAAGATGCAGATGCCTGGAAACACAAGAGTAAGGAGATGGATTATTTAAAAGCCTCAAAAGGATTCGGAAAGATATCTTCCCTCTCCAGTTCAAGTTCAGAATCCAGCGGAAGCCTCAAGTTGAATGATTCATCTTCAGACGAAAGCAACATGAAAGCGATGCTGAATGTTAATTTTGTACGGGTCGATTTTCCGAAGATAAGAAGGGTGAAAATGGGCAAAATATAGCCATTGTAAGAGATTACCAATAAAATTTTCATTTGCACTTTCTGCAAAAGAAAAGGATTTTTTGAATAATATCTCAAATTAGGGAACCAGTTGTAAATTCACAAAAATATTTACTTTTTTTAAAATATACTTTTTGTCTGTAAAAAAATACATTTGTTATTTTTTTTTTTTATTTTAGAGTATGCTAGGAGCATCAAATCGCAAGTTTATTTGAAAATATACGCTCGTTTAAAACAACAAGTACTTTATTTTTCCTTTTCAAAAAAGTATCTCAAATTTGGTTCCTTTCCTCTACACCTAGAACTTGGTCCGTTGAAAACCCCGTTGGTCTATCGATTAGGAAGCATCCGATCACAAACTCTTGTTGATTCTTGGTTTTGTTTGGTTAGGGTTATTCAAAAAGTATTAGTTCTAAATATGAATTTCCTGGAATGCGAAAGGCTTTCGCGGCCATCATGTCAATATTACTTGATTTGATTTCAACACACGTGTTGGCGAAACGTGAAGTGAAAATGTTTTACGACTGCCTAACAACCCAAAAACCAACCAAATAATAATGAATTTCCTATCCATTCTCATAGATTTCAAATCGGAATGTTCGGTTGTGAAAGTGACAAAGTATCAGTGGAATGCAATTTTGAATGACATTGTATACCTTTTGTTCCCTGTGTTTCAGTCGCAGGTTAACTGCTAACCAGAAGTTAAGCCTCAAATAGCGTTTTTCAATATCAAGATTGCCCTGAACGGTATTTAACTTTAACCAAAAAAGTCAAAAACGACAAAATGTCATTTTGCAGACTATTTAGTTTTTAGCGTGCAAATAGTTCATTCCACGTTTGCTCGCCATGGTCGCTGTGAGCATCATCAAAAGCATCCATCTATGGAGGAATGACTCAACGACACGACACGCTGAGGTCCGATACCCAGCATGCATTGTCGGTTGCAGAAAGCCAAGTAGTCTGTAGTGTTTATCTCTGAGAAGATGTGGAAGAAAGAAAGTAGGTGGAGTAGCAAGATCGCATCTGGATGATTATGTGTATTGGTCTGCATGTGTATAAAATTAGTGATATTTGCTATGCGAAAAAATTTTTGAATATGCTGTCCATTAAATATGTCTATTAGCTGTGACCGATGGAGTATTTATATGTTGTTCTATCTAAAGACAACTTATGTTCGAAGTTATATGTAAATAACGATTTTTCCCGTTTTTTTTTATTTCCAAAAATTTCGAGAGGTATTACGAAAAATCGCCACCACGCCGCGTTGTATGTTATGTATTACGTTATACTACTGTTAGCATAAATACGACTTTGTGAATCGACAATGTACAGTGAATATATTTGCAATATGTGGCAGTATGTAAGTATAAAATATAAGATTTTTCTTAAAATAATGGATAATGAATTAATTGGATTGCATTGTAAATATATGTGTTCTGAAATAGAGATGTTCTGTCGCTTGGGAATTGGTTTTTGAATAAAGAACCTTATGTTGAGCTCATTAATGGCCTTCGATATAAAATCATATTTTCTGCGGTCATTTTCAAGCCTGCAAAATTTATTCATAATATACTAAGTGACATATAAATCCGAACACCCAGTTTAAATGGTTTTATTTTAATAAAAGTTCGTGAATGTATTTATGTTACTGTAAATAACAAGCGAAAAAATTTTCAGCCTTATCAGTTGGACCTTCCGGTTTTTATACTGCTTTTTTTTAATCCACTAACGTTCTAAAAATGAATATTTCAGCCGCAGTAAAGAATCAACGTTGGTGGATTTTGGTTCTTGACATCCTTCACGATCGGTTACGATGCCTAGAGTACGGAGACCTGTACGATTTCGTCAACTTAGTGAGTTTGATAGGGGCCGTATAGTGGGACTTCGGGAAGCTGGACATTCTTTTCGGGCAATTGCAGTTAGAGTGCAAAGAAATGTAGACACTGTGGTTAGGTGTTGTCAGGCATGGCTTCGAGAAGGCCGTACGCAAAGAGCAAGGGGCACTGGACACCGCCGTAGAACAACAGACCGTGAAGATCGCCGCCTAAGATTATTGGCCTTAAGGAACCGTTTCTCCACTACCAGGTCCATTGCAAATGAATGGTTTGCAGAACACGGAAGACCTATTGGCATGCGAAGTGTTTACCGACGAATGAGAAGTTTTGGCTTGTTTTCATACCGGCCACTCTGGATCCTCCCTTTAACTCGAGAACACCGACGTAATCGCCTTGAGTGGTGCAGGCAACGGTCACTCTGGGATCAGGAATGGAACAGTATTGTCTTTAGTGATGAGTCTCGATTTTGTTTAGGCATGCACGATGGTCATGCCAGGGTTAGAAGGCGACGTGGTGAAAGGAGGAATCCACAGTTTTTTGTTGAAAGACATGTTCATCACACTGTTGGAGTTATGGTTTGGGGTGCTATAGCTTATGGTTCCAGGTCACCTTTAATCTTCATCAGAGGTAACATGAACGCGCAGCGTTATATCCACGAAGTTCTAGAACCCCATCTTTTACCCTATCTTGACACCCTGGCAGATCCAACTTTCCAACAAGATAAAGCCCGACCACATGTCGCAAGAGTCACAATAGACTTCTTTCAACATAATGATGTCACATTGTTACCATGGCCACCAAGATCTCCCGACTTATCCCCAATTGAGCACGTGTGGGATATGATGGGTAGGAGATTGCTCAATTTGCAACGTCCTCCTCAGACTCTAGAAGCACTTCGAGAGGAGTTCGTGGTTGCCTGGAATGAGATACCACAGGAGGACATTGACCACCTGATCAGAAGCATGCCTAGGCGCGTTGGAGAATGCGTGGCACATCAGGGTGCATCCACACATTAATAAAGGTCAAAGGGCTTTAAAGCAGTGCAATCATTTTGAAATTTTTATCATTTACTCATTATGCTTCATTAAGTACTTATACAAAATTTTATTAAAATAAAACCATTTAAACTGGCTGTTCGGATTTATACGTCACTTAGTATACGTTGAATACGATTCTTCTTATAATATCTAATCAGGGTTAGCAAACCACTAGGCAAAACAATATTTTTGAGACATTATCGCAGATTTATGTAATATAACCTTATTTGCAAATAAAATAGCGCTGCGTAGCGTAGCACTGGAAAAGTAGATGGATTTCAAATCATTATTCAATATAATACCTTAGAATAATCCACAGAAAGTATTTAATTACCTTTTAAATGTATGTTTATGACATTTTTTAAAGCATCCCTTTCTGATTTATTAGAATATACGGAGGTATTGGTGAGGTTCAAATGGAGATTATGACTACTATTAAACTTCTTGATCAATGTTATTGTCCGCTGTTTCTAGATAATAACTTATAAATAAATAGAAAATCTGAGTATCGTCAGCTGTATCAAGTATAACAAAGCTTGTTTTGCTAATTTCCATCAAATAATAATAACAACGTTTCAGCCACTCACTCATTTGATCCCCTAACATTGCTATCATAATTCATTTTTATCCCAGTGTAATAAAGTCAAGAATAATAAGAACCTTCATTTTTGCCATATATTAGTATATATACTATGCTCGCTTGTTTCTTGGAAAGAGCATACCCTCCAGGATAACAACCATACTTATACAGTATGTTACAACGAGTATTGCATAGCTAGGACATCATAGGGAGTGTAAATGGAGTTACAGGTCCAAATACTGTATTGATCGACCAGCCAAAGATTGCTAGGGACGAAAGGGGGAAATGCGATGAAAAAACCTTACCATTAGACGATTTTATATGGAGTCATAGGCGGAGATCGGAGAGACTTGAATTATTAATTGAATTTATATTTTATTACAACTGGTAGTATTAATATTTTTTTGCGATTCATAATGACGTGATACCAAACATACATTATAAGAAATAAATATACACAAACACTGAATATTGAGAACAAAATAAATATATTTTTTAGGCAACAAGTAATATTCCTATGTACGCATTATGATTGAACAGCAAAACAAATTATGCATTCTTCTAAAATAGAATACAACAAGTCAAAAATATCTGACTGAATAGAAAAATATAGGAAAACAAAAAGTAATTTCTTGATGAAATAACCCATAAACAACACATAGAATTAGACTTTCTACTGAGATACTAAAAGCCACAAACCAATAGTATAATAAATGAATATCTAAAAATTCTAAAAGGTAGCCAATCTAGTATAGTTTCAATCCTGATTAGAGTCATGATCACTGTCTGAGGAACTGTCATTGCTATCACTTTCACCTCCTATGTTGATTATTATTTCTTCCTGTATTTCTTGAATGAGACTGTCTTTTTCCCAATATTCATCTTCAATTTTTATAACATGTCCAATAACCTTTTGCCAGTCACTGGCACTTACTGAAGCGATGGCCTTATTAGAAATTTCATCTAGTTTTTTTATAGTAAATTCGCCGCTTGTATTATGGCTTCTAATGAAAAATTTTACTTGTGCCCAAATCATCTCTATGGGATTAAACTGACACATATAGGGTGGCGTTCGAAGTGGGGTGTGTCCGAAACTTCTTATTAAATTATCTATCTTATAATTTTTCTCATCAGATGGTGGCCTATGTAGACAAGCTATTTCATAAAGCTCCATTTTTTTAGCATTAGGATCATGCTCTATACCTTTTTTGCTCAACCACGTGATGATGTCTCTTTTTAGAGAAGATCTAGTTGGAGGCTTGTCTTCCAAAGCTGAATGGTAAGGTGCATTATCCATTATTATAATACTATTAGGAGGAATGTTAGGAAATAGTTTTTCAGTAAGCCACTTCGTGAAATTTTCTTGGTTCATTTGACCGTGATAATCACCAGTGGCACAGCCAGCCTTGAAAATGAGACAGGCTCCAGGAACAAAACCATCTTGCGAACCCGCATGAACAATTATAAGTCGTCCTGGAAATGA